CTAATCCAACCATTCTTTGTGTGCTTTATGGGGGTGTTCAGTTTGAAAATTTCATATAGAATCAAGAACATGTGGAACAACTGAACTTAATTTATAAAACTGAGATAAATAAGCTTACCAGCATTTATCCAAATTTAGACACCCAAGGCCATATTTTAAAAATTCACGTCATAAGTAGCTATGTTCATGTGAATAGATCTAGTGGCTTTATTTTACATAATGCCATAGCAAAGTGTATACTAGTTCTTTGCATGCTTGTTTATACAACAATTTATGTTAATAACTTTTTTTTCTTTTTTGGAGAGGTTTTCACTACAGGGCGCGTGCGCTCCCCAGAAAGACAGAGAGAGAGAGACAGAAAGCGGGAAATCACCTGCCAGGGGGGATGGCCATGCCGCAACCCCTTCTCCTCCATTCTCCTCTCAGGATCTTGGTCACAACACGCACACGTGCCTGGCATGAGTTTAAGCTGCCGGATCCACGACTTGAACCGCGGTCGACTACATGGGAGTCCATCGACATAGCCATTACACTAACTGCTGGTTCCTATGTTAATAACTTTTAATATCTGAGTTAAAGTTCTAAATTTTGTTTCATATGTCATCCTATTTACTCCCTCATATTGTTTTTGGATCTCTTTCCTCATAGGTAGTAGACAAGTTGGTTGGTTATTTGTTTTTTGTTATGGACAAGATTTTTAAATTATATATAGTTTATGTTTGAAAATGCACTATTTTCATTATAGCATATATACATCTATTGCAATATCATCTATCTATAAACTGGTTATCTGATGATGGATTCATCACAAAATATTATTGAATCAAGTATAACTAATATGAAATGTGTATTATTAAAAATGCATGGATTTAAAAAAGAATTTTGCACTAAAGTAAACTTTTCCATTAATTCCATGTTTCCATGAACTTTTGTCTCCCTTTTATATTTTAGTCAACCACAGGAGATTACTAATGGTTTCTGGAGCCCTCAGGTGTTAAGAATTCTGAGTTTGCCTAAAACTGCAATTATCTAGAGAGGATTCTGCAGAAAATTAGAGATGTCTACATGAAGTACAGGTTGGGGCAATAAGGATATAATGCACATATTTAGTATATTGCAGAAAGGTTGTTATTTGAAATATGCAAGTTCTGAGAAAAGGTTGTTTTTTAAATTGCCTTCATGTATATTTTTTCATAAGCTTAAATTTCTTGATTGCAGATAAAACTCCAGAACCTCATGAGAATACATAGGGCTTCATAGTCAGTAAAAATGATTTTGACAATGAGAAATTAGTTTAAATAGTTGGTAGATATAGCTCTTCTCCTTCACAATTTTGCCTTGGGAAGACTTGATCCCAAACAGTAGTCCTCCTATTGTAAACTTGGTCTTCTGATAGGAATGAACAGAATCCTTGAGTCCATTTCTCAACCCTATTCAAAATAGAGGATTCACTTATGGTAATCATCAAACCTCTTTGAACCCATGGAATATATTCGAAAAATGACAAAAATGTTTGAAGTAAAATACTTAATTTCATGTGAAAAATTTTCATGGGCACAAGAGTGCATATGAATAATGGAAAGAGACTATAGGATGGTATATCACAGCAGAGTAAGCTCTCTGAACAATTTCATATATACTAAAAAAAACCTCTTAGGACTAATAAATATTAACAATATAATGAAATAGTTAACATAAAAGAAGATGAATATGTATATCCTTGATTTCATTATTAGACACTATAAGCATATCTAAAAAGAACATACTATAGCCACAAAGGTATACATTGATTATAGGTAAACCAGAAATCATAACTTAAAAAAAGTAAAGATAAATAAGTTTGAGCTAAAATATTAAATTTAGTATAAAATACATATATGTACTGAGTTTTTAAAATTATTTATGCAAATGGGAAAGAAATCTAGACAGATGAGTTAACTATCAGAAAACATTCTTCTTTTTTTATTGAGAGATTTTTGCTATAGGGTGCATGTGCTTGCCAGAGACCCAGAGAGACAGAGAAAATGAGAAACACCCCCACCCCCAGAGGAGATGTTCACACTTCAATCCCTTCTCCTGCTTTTCTTCCTTTCTCCACTTGGGATTTGGTGCAGGTACACCTCTAGGTCCAGGACTCAAACCATGGATGGGGATGTGGGAGGCCAATGCCTTCACCACTGTATCACCTGCTAACCCTTGGAAAACTTCCTTCTTATACTTTATCTTGATGCATTAATTTGGAGGTATAGACGTAACAGCAATATCAGTGTTAGTGACCGTAAATTCTTAAACAAAAATCCCTTCAACATAACAAAAGTCATACAATGAAATAGATAGAATAGGAAATCTTAATCAAGACTTAGAGTCACAATCAAATATACAGAAGAAAAGTGATCTGCTATGGAGCCTGATAGCTTACTAAAAAGAGTGAAAGGAAGAAGGAGGACTAGAATGAAAGAGGGGGAAAGAAGTAAGGGTAAGGGTGAGAGAGAGAGAGAGAGAGAGAGAGACATAAGGGAGAGAGGAAAAAAGGGGAGAGGGGAAAAATTATGAAAATAATTTAAATTGTAGTAATAATAATAAATTATTATCCAAAATATGTTATAACCCTTTAAAGGTGATGTAATTTGCCTTTTTGTTTATGCAGAGTTGACTACTTTCTATGTTGTACATTAATTACACTCCAATATTTGAAGGTCTATTTGTTTTCTGACTTATAAAAATTACCCTGTATCCTTTAGTTATGCAAAAATCCTAGAATTTAATTGGAAACATATCATTTCAGATTTATGTAATGGACTGTAAACTGGCCAATGTCTACATTACTGTTGGAGAGACAGTCTGTCGTTGAGAGAAACACATTCACTAACAGGATAACATGAAGTTCCGAACCATTATCCTTTTAATGCATTCTTTTTGTTTTCTTCTAGTTTATCTCTATGTCATATTTTTCTCCTTTACTGCAAATTTCCCAACTCTCCTCATCATATACAATTTTAACTACTTTCTTTGATGATTGTCTTTTTCTATAATTTTTTCTATTCTCTTTTTCTTTTTTTTTTTTAAGAGGTTTTTGCTATAGGGTGCGTGTGCTCGCCAGACAGACAGAGAGAGACTGACAGACAGAAAACAAGAATAGGGTGCATGTGCTTGCCAGAGACCCAGAGAGACAGAGAAAATGAGAAACACCCCCACCCCCAGAGGAGATGTTCACACTTCAATCCCTTCTCCTGCTTTTCTTCCTTTCTCCACTTGGGATTTGGTGCAGGTACACCTCTAGGTCCAGGACTCAAACCATGGATGGGGATGTGGGAGTCCAATGCCTTCACCACTGTATCACCTGCTAACCCTTGGAAAACTTCCTTCTTATACTTTATCTTGATGCATTAATTTGGAGGTATAGACGTAACAGCAATATCAGTGTTAGTGACCGTAAATTCTTAAACAAAAATCCCTTCAACATAACAAAAGTCATACAATGAAATAGATAGAATAGGAAATCTTAATCAAGACTTAGAGTCACAATCAAATATACAGAAGAAAAGTGATCTGCTATGGAGCCTGATAGCTTACTAAAAAGAGTGAAAGGAAGAAGGAGGACTAGAATGAAAGAGGGGGAAAGAAGTAAGGGTAAGGGTGAGAGAGAGAGAGAGAGAGAGAGACATAAGGGAGAGAGGAAAAAAGGGGAGAGGGGAAAAATTATGAAAATAATTTAAATTGTAGTAATAATAATAAATTATTATCCAAAATATGTTATAACCCTTTAAAGGTGATGTAATTTGCCTTTTTGTTTATGCAGAGTTGACTACTTTCTATGTTGTACATTAATTACACTCCAATATTTGAAGGTCTATTTGTTTTCTGACTTATAAAAATTACCCTGTATCCTTTAGTTATGCAAAAATCCTAGAATTTAATTGGAAACATATCATTTCAGATTTATGTAATGGACTGTAAACTGGCCAATGTCTACATTACTGTTGGAGAGACAGTCTGTCGTTGAGAGAAACACATTCACTAACAGGATAACATGAAGTTCCGAACCATTATCCTTTTAATGCATTCTTTTTGTTTTCTTCTAGTTTATCTCTATGTCATATTTTTCTCCTTTACTGCAAATTTCCCAACTCTCCTCATCATATACAATTTTAACTACTTTCTTTGATGATTGTCTTTTTCTATAATTTTTTCTATTCTCTTTTTCTTTTTTTTTTTTAAGAGGTTTTTGCTATAGGGTGCGTGTGCTCGCCAGACAGACAGAGAGAGACTGACAGACAGAAAACAAGAAATCACCCCCCAGAGGGGGTAGCCACGCCACAATCCCTTCTCCTCCATTCTCTTCTTGGGATCTTGGGCACGTATACACACGCGCCTGGCGTGAGTTTCAAGCCACCGGGTCCGGGATGCAAACCACAGTCAACTACATAGGAGTCCAGCAACATAGCCATTACACTAACTGCTGGTTCCTTTTCTCTGTTATTTTTCAATTTACATTTAATCACTGATCATCTTTACAGTGTGCAATAATTTTCTCTGTTTTAACTTATGAGAAAGTTCTTTTTCTTTTTTTTTTTTATTTAGTGAGGAAATGTAAAGGAAATGCAGTAAACTTAAAGAAAGCAAGAAGCTGTCCCACTGTTAATCTTCAAAAGGTTGAACATGTTCTGGAGAAAAGGTTAATATAAAAATTATTAACCTAGGGACTGGCAGGTGGTGCGGTAGGTAAGGTGTTGGACTCCCACATGGCTGACCATGGTTCAAGTCCTGGACCTGGCAGCTTGCTTTCTCACTTTCCCTCTCTCTCTCTCTCTCACTCTGTCCTCTCTGGTCAAATTAAACTAAATAAATGAATAAAGTTAGATAAAATAATTCTTCTAAAAAATTATTATCCTAAAACTTTTCTACTTATAAATGAACAAAACTCTACATGAAAACTGCAAGCACCAATCATTCCTCCTTTAGTGTTTTTAAAAGTGTCAATAGTGGGAGAAATAAATTACCTCAGCTTGGTCAATAGGAACGTTTTCATAGTTGTACAAGTTATCCAGTTCTTCCAAGGTAGCGTCGTAGGTTTCTGAGTCATAGTTGATGAGCTCTAGAGTTGGGGCAGTTACAGCAGCATCAAAGATGACAAGTCCCAGAACAAGTCTTGCTAACATTTTCACTTTCCGAACTCTCCTAGTCATAAAATATTAAAAATACATAAATATTTCATTGATAATAACTTACTAGTAGTTTGTACTTAATAGGAATAATTAGTCAATGTCAACATCAATGAACTCAAACTGATAACTTTCTTAACATGAATAATTTATTAACATAACACATGAAATTATATGACCTCTGTGCTTTGTTGATACCAGATGTTCAAATTAATTCACAAGCCTGTGCCACAGTTTTACAATGGGTATTTTAATTACATTGACAATTTTATTTTACATAGAAAAATGGAGAACATGGGATGCATAAAGACTGTGATATGTTTATTTACAAAATTCTTCTTATTAGCTAATAGTTTTACTATTTAGTAAACATTATGATTGTTTTATCAACTCTTTGGTATAGAGTTGATGAGGAGAATATTGATAATGACAATTCTCATCCATTAACAGATGAGGAAACTAATACAGAGTTGGTTAGTGATAGAGCTAGGACTCATAACTCTTTCTTGTACATTCAAGTCTAAGACTTTTTCCAGGATAAGATAATTAAGTTGTTTTCTATTCTTGTTTATTAATTGCATATTGTAATACATATTTAATATATGCATAAATTAATATTTTATACAATTTTTCAAAATGCTTATAACTAAATGGAATAGAAGACAAAATGATCATTTATTTTAGTCTGTAGTATTTTATTCTGTATTGCTATCTAAGATTTAAACTGAAAATCAATAGGATTTAAAAGGCACTGTTTGGCAAGATTTTCTTCGCAGGGAATTTGAACACAGGAGATTAAAACAATCTTTTGTTTAGTAATTCTTTAGTAAGTGCAATTATATTCTCATTATAATAGAGTATTTTGGAGAATTCAACCCAGCTCTTACAATTTAACTACTTTAGTTCTGTATTCAAAGTTTGAATGCATTTTGGTATAGAAAAAAATACTTTATGTTTAACTTTAAACATAAAATTTTTGATAGTTGGTTCTATCAAAAATGTTTCCTAGTGATGATTTATTAAGCAGGAAAAGTATTGTAAAACTTTTTATCAAGCATATCTAATTTTAAAAGGTTTTACACTTTGGATATACTTCTTGGCTTTACTTTAAGAACACTATGTGTGGTGTTAGTACCTATGCATACATATAAAAGGGAATTCATGATAAATATTAGTTCTAAACTTGAATGCACTGGCATTCAAACTGACCTTCAGTTACTTGAAAGAAAGCCTTTATGGAGCAGGTTTAGGCAGAAGGATATGAAATTCCTTGGAGAATAAGAAGCAGTACAAGGAGCTCCTTTTTATCCCTTCTTATGCTTTCTTCAAGTAAATTTTTTATTCACACTGGCTAAACTAAGCCTCTATTTTACTTGCCTTTGCACAGGACTCTGCAGGAGTGCAGATTTGGATCTGTTCTAGGAAATTACCAACAAAGTTCTACTTAATCAAATGTGTGATTTGTAAGTCTTCCAGGAACCATTCATTCTCCCATTTCAAGTGGGAAGACTTAATGGTGGCCACCACTAACCTAAAAAAATATTTTTCTTGTACATTTCTGGTCATTTCCATTGTTCAAAGAAATTACATACTTGTTGAGACTTTTGGTCACTTTATATTCTACATGTGACTCAGAGTGGTTTCATATCAAAGTTTGCTTGCACTTCACTTATATCCTAAAGCTGTCAGCAATAAGTCTGTGTGAACTTCAAAAATGGGAAGAGCATCTCTCTATGTTTACTGTCTTGTTCCTCCTTTTGAGTAATTATATTAGCATTCAATATAGCATCTTAGTTGAAACATTGAATTTTTTATTTACTTTTTGCCACTTCAGAATATTTTGAAAATGTGTTCAGTTGAAACCTTAAACTATTTAGCTTAAAAAGGCATTCTAAATGCACAGGGCCATATGATCATTAGAATATGTTTAAACACCTGATGTATTACTATTTTCTCCCTTTACATAATATTTCAATCAATATCAATCAATAGTGCCTGTGTACACTGGCACAGGGAATGATCTGTGTCAGGGCTCTTGATTTAAGGCATATATTGGAAACTAGTATAATTTTATTGGCATCTGCCATGACTGTTAAGATCAACTATCTTGCTGTATATTATTCATTCCTAAGCTAATTTAGAATTTTGAATTTTCCAAGAATAACATAAACTCCATAGTAAAAATTAAACTAAATCCATTGAACCAAAGTTTACCAGGAGATATTAGAGCAAGAAGAATTATTTTTTAAAGGTTGCTATAGTAGAAAAAAAAAGTCTCTTAAGTCAAGAAGAAAGCAAGTGTAAAAACTTACCTTTGGCTCCGACTTCGTGAAATGGCACAAAGTGACTGAGGATGCAGAGCCAGTGGTATTTGCCCCTGACCAATGGATATGAATTCTTGTCTGTGGGAGGTGGAATTTATAACACTCAACTTTCTGTTTGAAAAGGCTAACCTTGATAAATGCTTCTCAGTCTTTAAAAACCCCAAATGATTTTATAGTTCCCCAAACTAAGAAGTAGCATCCAAATTACATAGTATATAAAACTGTTGATATTGTGTTAGCGGAGTTGACATTGCCAGTGTGTCACCTTAAACTTTTTAAATGGAAAAATTTGGTTTTGAACATACATTTTTGAGTATGTACCAATTAAGAAGTTAAGTATATAATGATACTATAGATGGATATTTTAAAAATTGTCCTAAGAAATAATTTTCACCAAATTCGTATGTCTTGAGTTGCTTTCTTCACTTTTTATTAATGTTAACTGAAATTTAAGCCTTACCTGTTTAATGTCAGGTAAGTAAAAGAGATATTAAAATTATATTGATTGCTTGCAATGCTTTGATAACACTGAACAATAAAACTTCTGTGTGAAATTTTAAAAATTATGTCTAGAAATAATGCATAAATATTGTGTAGGTATTCTGAGCAGGGGGATGCCTCTTTTTTCACTTGTGTCTATCAGAGCCAAGTAAATCAAATAACATTTTTTTAAAAAAAGTCTCCAGGATACAAGATTTGCTTTATGCTCTTGGCTCCCTGAGATGGTTGGCAAAACTGAGTTTTATTACAAATATGAAGGGAAAAAAACAGGTATTAAATTTCTATTCCTTACTATTATACTGTAAAAGTTCTAGAGAAAGATGAAACTTGTATCTTGTATTCTGGTATGCTTTACGTAAACCTAAAAGTTCAATTCTTATTTGTGCATCAGAAAATTTTCTTTTATGACCAGAAGTGAATTGAATTTTGGAAAGCAAGTTTGGTTTGGGGCAAAGAGATGGGGAAGACAAGGGTCCCTCTTCAGGATTTTCCTACCTCCCTTTCTGCATTTGCTCCCACTTTTCCTCCCCACATAGCGTAGTTGCCCATATTGTCTATAAAGGGCACTCTCATTCGTCACACCTATCCTCCAAACCTGCTTCCAAATGATCTGTTTTCAGTGTGTATTATTTTTCTTGCAACCATTTTTACTGGGATCAAGGTGGTGATAGAGAATAAGAATGAAGTCTACCAAGACCTCTCAAAAAATACAGAGATTGTGACCAGCAGTTAGCGTAATAGCTATGTTGCTGGACTCCCACGTAGTCAACCATGGTTCGAGTCCTGGATCTGGTGGCCTAAACTCACATCGGGCGCATGTGCATGTGTGCCCAAGATCCCAAGGAGAATGGAGGAGAAGGGATTGCAGCGTGGCCATCCCCCCATGGGGTGATTTCTCGCTTTCTGTCTCTCTGTCTTCCTGCAAGCACACATACCCTATATCAAAAACCTCTCCCCTAAAAAATAAATAAATACAATTTTTTAAAAAAATACAGAGGTCATCTTGGAGTAGTGAGAGATTTCTTCCCAGCATCCTTGAAGTTTCACCTTATCCTGTAGGGGCTACTGTCAAGCATTGCTGGAAAGAGGCCTGAATCTAAGTTCCTATGCTGGTTTGGTTTAGTGGCAAGCTCCTACAAAGGTTTTAAGTGATTTCTTAAATTATTGTTAATTCTCTCAGCAGATCCTTAAGCAGTATATTACCATTCCCTGATGGAAAACCAGAGACTCATGCTTCAATTGATCCAGCATCGCATGCTACACAGAAAAAAGATAAAAATTGTGTTTTCTGTTTCTGTTTTCTGTGCATCAGGTCCCTATGGGTCCAGGACTCATACCAGGGCCAGCCACATGGGAGTCCGGTGATGTAATCATTATGCCATCTGCTGGTCCCACTCTCAGCTTAAGTTCTATTTTGAAACCTGTTTACCATTTACCTGACACTAGTATTTAGACTTTTTCAGATGTTTTGGAACAAAAACAGATCAATAGAATATCCATGAAAATCTTTAACATTTCTTTTTCTTCCCTCATTGTTTTAGTTCAGTACTCTGGACACGTTGTCAGGTAATCGACAAGGGGAATTTACATAGTCCTTCCTTTCTGGAAGGCTTTGGCTGAACATGTAAGATTATTTCCAGAAATAATATTTTCATATTCTTTTTAAGTGAACTGTTGGTATTTAAATGTCTTCCTTAGCCATCAGAACTCTACGTACTAATGCAGTTGATACTCAATTTTTTATGACAATTTAATAACCACATTACTGGGCTAAGTATAGGATTGAATCAGAAATTACCATTTCTGAACTTTTTCTTCCTTGGAATAAATAAGTCTCACCTTTCTTTATAAGACTGATAATTTCTTAAACCATTTCTCTTGATCTAATTTGGACTCACTCTAGTATTTTGAAATCTGTTTTGAACTGTGAGAGCTCAAGTATGTAATAATCTCATGAGGGACTAATCACTATTGAACAGTATGGAAGGATTAATTACCAGCGCCAGCCTCTCTTATCCTCGGTACATATCTTCTCGTCTCATGATTATTTTCTGCATGGAGCCCAAGAGTGGTTATCAGACACCCTCAAGGGATCAGTTATTAGAATTAGTTGTGCTATCCAGTAACAGAGGCTTTATGGCTCTTT